ATGGGAAATGTAGTACCAATACAGAGGGCCTGGGTGTGATGGGAAATGTAGTATCAATAATTCTTCCCCTCCCAGGACACCACATGCCTCAGTTCCACAGAGCCAGGGACTTCTCCACATGCTTAGATGTTCTTGCTCATCATTGATGCTAATTTTTTTTCTTTCATGTCATGAGTTGTCATTTGCTATTCAAATCAGTGCCTCATCTGTTTCATTGCTAGGGCCTTCTCGAGAGCACTGTGGCTTTCTTCCAAGCCGAGTAAGCTTGAGTGACCTGCAGAACTACCACTGCCTTATGGCAGCTGACTCGATGGTCACTTTCAAAAATGACTTTCAGAGTCAGCCATACCATTTGGTGAAGATATTTTTTTAATTAAAAATAGCTTTTGAATAATATATTCTAGTCATGGTTTCCCCTCCCCACTTCCTAGTACCTATCTACCTCTCCTGCCATCCATGTCTACAACCTTGCTGTCTTTTTTCTTGTCTTGCTTGTCTGTTTTCTAAAAACAAGCAGGCATTTAGAGAATAATAATAAAAGAAGATAAAACAAAGACAAACAAGTCAGAATAAGACGAAACATTCAAACAAGGAAAAGAGACAATGAAAATGCACAAGTAACACATTTAGACTCAGAGACATACACATGTGCACACACAGGAATCCCATGAAAGCACAAAACCAGAAGCCATGATATATATATATACATACATACATAAGTGGGGAAAAAGTCCCAATAATGCCATTGAGTTCATTTGGCCATCTACCACTGGGCATGTGGTCTACGCTTAAGAGTGGTTTGTTTCCCCTATGAGACTCCACGGGAGAAAACTAAGTTTTCATTTGCAAGTGAGTATTAACTGGAGATAGCTCTGGGTTAGGAATGGGGGATGTATCTACTTCTCTTTCCAGCTCTAGGACCATAACTTGTACAGACCCGTGCAGGCCCTGTGCATGCTGCCACAGTCTCTATAAGTTCATATGTACAGCCTTGGTGTGTCTGGAAAGCCTTGATTTCTTGCTATATCAATCATGGCATTTTGGTGAAGATATATTTTCCCCAAAATAAAATACTCATAGTTTTAAATTCAGAAAACAATCAATGTAATAACATGGCCTCAGGTCAAAGAGAGATTGTTGCTTGATAAAACAAAATAACAACCCTCAATTCTGTGGCTTTGAGAAAAAAATACAATGAGAATTGCACAGGAAGCACCCAAAGACAGGAGGAGAGGATCAGGCATTCTACAGGAAGCTGGCAGCAGCAGGTATGCGTCCCTGATTGTGCTCAGTGACAGAGTGAAAAACAAGATCTTATAAGAGAAATCTACTGTGGTTTGGAGACAATAAACAATGCTAAGAATCAGAGCTACATTGCCCATGCTCATGACTGTTCTATAATGTCCACATACTTCAGTTCCACTGTCAGGATGTTCCACTCTCCCACTCCATTCTTCATGCATCTAAGTATTCCATACCCAGCTTCCTATTTAGGGTCACTACTACTGTGCTAGAAGGCCGTGATCACAAACAGTTGGGGGAAATAAGGTTCATTCCAGCTTGCAGCCCCTCACCACAGACCATCACTGAGGGAGGTCAGGGCAAGAACCTGAAAGCAGGACTGATGTAGAGAGCAAGGAGGAATGCTGCTTCCTGTCTGTTCCTCATGGATTAAGCAGTCTGTGTTTTATCCTGAAACCATTTGCCCAGGGGTAGCACTACCACTCATAAAAGCCTGGCCTCTTCTACATCAACCACTTATTAAGAATATACACTCAGGACTTGCCTAGAGGTAAATCTTCTGAATCTCAATTGAGAATCCCCTTTCCCAAATGATTCTAGCGTAACGTAAGTTGATATAAAATGAGCCAAAATGCACAACTTCACTATGCCAGTTCTATAGAGAGCCTGCATAGACATTGAGGATGGATGTACCCCCACGGTAATGGATCCAGTGACCTTAGTTTGTGAACAATGTCTGGGAAGCTTTTTAGCATTATTTACTCAACAGAAATATTGGAAATAATAAATAGATAATTTTAGATATCTGAGATGTCATGAGATAAAAAATGCAATGAGCTGGTTATGTTTAGTTTTTCTTGTCTTTGCCAGCCATGGAAGGGTAGGTAGAGATGCCCTGAGAAGCTGTATTG